TTGTTTAAAATAAATTTTCCAAATCAAGCAAACTTTATTAATTTTTTATTGAAGAACATTTTCGAAAAAAATATAATTAATATTGAAAATATTTAAACAGTTTAATTAATATTTCAGATGTTTACAGACATAAAAATCCAAGATAAGATTGAAACTAGCAAATGCTAATTCAAAAGTCACAATTAAAATTCTCCCCCAGCCTATAGTAGAGAAAACGCGCATGAATTTTTTCGTTGGCGGAAGAAAAATAGCACACGTGACCTGCAGAAAAAGATAAGTTTCTTTGACGGGCAACCCTTTTACTTCTATAGCGATCTAATGTAACAGTTGAATTAGGAAACCGGTCACTCTCGAATAGCGATCGAACGAATTCGAAGAAATTGAAACGAAGAAACGCGTTACAGTTGCATAAGGGTATTGGTAACTTTCACTCGACTTCTCTAATAAAAATTTTTTATAACCACTTCGTTACTTCTGATTTAAGAGAAAATTTTCTGTTAAATAAAATAAAAAATATTTAATAAATAGAATAACGAAGTTTTTACTCAAATTTGTAATTTGTTAAATGAGTTATGGAATTCTCAATGACGATTTTAGGATTCGATTGTAAGATATGAAATAATTAGCATTTAGCTCCTTGTATTTATAGTAATTCGTCAGATTTTATTATTATTTTGCTTTTCTTCCCTTTAATATTAATTAACAACCCTGATTTCAATCCTTGTGTAATGCGTCCAGGGCTGTCTGCCGCGATAGATAACTACGCGATAGACAATTAAAAATTAAAGCTTTCGGAATTTTCGTAATTTTGTCAAAATTTTCAAATTTTCTCTGCGAGAGAGTTGGAACAAAGTGGCACTTAACTTTTGAATCATTTAAGTGTAATGGTTTGGAAAATAACTTTAAAACAAATGTAAAAAACTAAGAATCATACTTTTAAACACAAACTTTGCAATCACTGGAAATTCTTCCGAAAAGAGTAGAAAGTTTACAGTCCTGTATGTATATTATAACGTAAGAGGTCATTTATAATTAGAAAGGGTCTTTTTAATTTATAAATTCCCGTAGGAAGTTACTATAAATGTTCATATTTGTAATTGATCATTTTATTCCTATAATTTTGGAGTTCACGACAACTAATGTTCAACTTCGTAGCAGAGTAATTTTGAACCCTATCCAGAATACAAGGGAACACCTGGATCAAGTATTGCGTGGAATTTGCCTTCATGAAGGACTTATGGATAGGACTAATGCACATTTTTGTAACATGGAGGGCAAACCACGAAAACCTCCCATGGTTAGTCTGATGGCAAGGGGACTCTAACCTATGATCCGTCTACCATTGAGGATGTTTTACGTCAGCACTGTGGTCAGTGCGAGCCGGGTGTGGAATTTCCACCGATGGAATGGGGAGTGACTGTCCCCTGAGCTACCACGACTCGTAGTTTACTATTTTATAACCGTCGTTGAACAGCCGACCCATTTTTTTGGGCTCACGACTTCTTACGTTCAACACCACAGCCTTCTAATTTTGAACCCAATCTAGAAGACAAGGGGACTCCTGGATCAAGTATTGGGAGAAATTTGCCTTCATGGATGACTTTCTGATGGAACTAACCCACATTTGCGCTACATGGAGAGGAAAACCTCCAACATTAGTCTTAAGGCAAGGGGACTCTAACCCATGATCCGTCTAGCACTAAGGATATTCTACGTTAGCACTGTTGTCGATGCAAGCCGGATGCGGAATTCGTATCGACCAACCGAAACTGGGATTCGAACCTGGTTCACGTCATTGGAAGGCGAACACTCTATCCCCTGAGCCATCACGGCTCTCATAGTTTATCATTGTCAAAAAGCAACATTGAATCCATTCAAATAGGTAGTGGTTTACTTTATCGGAAAGATAACTTATAACAAAATTGAGTAAATGGCATGTGGTGTGGATTGAAATTTTTAAACTCTGAAAATAATATTCGGAGCTTTAACTACTTTCGGAGCTTAACATCGGAATTCTAGTATTCGGAGCTAAAACTAATTTTGCAGCTTAACATTGGAATTTTAGTAATCGGAGCTTAAACTTAAGCCTATTTGCTGTCGTTTATAGATGTGATTTTTGTTTTTAATTTTTCAATGATTTGGAACTCGCCGTAATTAACATTTCACTCAACAAAAGCATGTGCATTAAGTTTGAAAATAGTAATTATTTTCTAAGTTACTTATTATTTAAAAAATAAATTGTTAGTTAGAATACTCTATTTTTTTTAAAAAAAAAAGTAGTTCATCATTACAACATTAAATTATTTAATCTACTTTTAATATAAAAAGAATCCTGGTCTTGGAAAAATAAAATGGGAATTTTCCTTCTTATAATACGTTTTCTACTTCTTTATAATAAATTGGATTGCTTAATTATCAAAATTATAATTTGCAAAACTTGAGAGTAGGAATTTATTTTGAATTAATCAATATTCGAAACCATTCATATTATTTTGTAATTTAGTTATTGAATTATTCATAATGAGTTATTATTATGAAATATATTTCAGTCATTATTATTGACGCGTAGAGATAATGATACTACTAATTATTCGGCGAATGCCGTAATTTATCTGAAATAATTTCATTTTTAAATACTGGGAGAATAATTTCATGATCGATTCTCTTTGACATAACAATTATTTCATCGAATGTATTTCAGTCATTATTATTACCGTAATATATATACCATTAGTTAATTTTGCGGATTTATATGAAATAGTTATATTTTTATATTCTGGGAGAGTAATTTTGTTAGCAATTCTTGTTGAATGAACAATAGTGTAAAAGTGATAGTAATTTTGGAGCTTTAGTAGCCATGATATCTTTCAAACTTACTACAATCTTTGTATGATACATCATCAACATTGGCACAACATCCCTTTGTGAGCCTGGGCCTTCCTTAGAAGCTTTTCCCATTCTGCCCTTCTCCCAGCAATTGATTTCCAGTTCTTTACTTTTAGGATGGCAAAATCCTCATCCACACAGTCTTTCCATCTCTTTTTGGGCCTTCCTCTTGGCCTTTTATTCGAGGGGGTTGAATTAAAGAATATATGATACGTTTAAGCATATAATCCTACTTCTTATACTTGATTACACCATGCTACGGTTAATAAAAGGAAACGTGCTTCAATTTAACACCTTGTTAGGGTTTCAGCAAATTTGCACCGTATTACTGTTCAATGTTTAGGTGCACAGTAAATGTGAACCATATTACAGTTATGGTTTTTCTGGCTGCTTTTCGAAAGCTCGATTCGAAGCTTTCGATATTACTACAATAATGCTCATAAATTTAAAATTTTTAATTGGAAAATATCATCAAGTTGGTGATTTTTATAAATGTATAATACTTTAAGCTATTTGTTCTTTCTAGAGGTCTTCTTTACAGACGTACTTTGATGGTATATGTAGTCTTACTTATAGTATAAGGTACTTAAACTGCAACTTTTTTTTTTATATTCCTTGGTGAAAGAACTTAAACACGACAAAAAAGGGATGTCTGCGTGATTTTTCTCTTAATGCAATTTTTTTAAATTCCACTCTTGAATATTTTTTGCTTCATTTTATTCATTAAAATGAAGCATTGCACATTATTGTATCCAAAATTGTTTAAAATAAAT